ATGTACCTACACACCGCTTATCAAGCCATGCTGTGGCAGGCGTCCCACATATAAAAGTAGAGGAAGACGGGCACGGATGTTAGCCCAGGGCCAATCTTCCCGAGCAAAAAGAGGAGGATTGGCAACAGATGTTAACTCAGGGCTAATCTTCCTCATCAAAAATAAAATAAAATAAAATAGCACCCCTGCCCCCAGCCATTCTTGCCTGCCATGACCCCATTATCCAGTTTTATTTCCTTCACAGTGTCTATCACATCTGACATTCTCTGGTTTATCTGCACCAGAATGAAGCTCCACATACAGCAGGGGCTTTACCTGCCTCATACATGTATTCCCTGCACCTAGAACAGGGCTGGGCACACATCAGGCACTCAACATGTCTGCTGAACTTAAAATAAAATCCATTTCATTTGATTGGATCCTCTACGGGAAAAATGGAAAAGAGCTTTGCCTCTTAGATTACTTAATTTATTGAACAAAAGTGTATCAGTGAAAAGCACTGACCCTATACATTTTAGACACTACCAAGTTAAGTGGTGGGCACAGACAAGAAGCAGCAGTACAGGCAAATCCTCATTTTTCACAGCCCCTATCTGTACAGAAGGGTAGAGGATACTTGCACCATCACCTCATCTCTTGAGATGGGTATCATCACTGTTCCTACCTTACAAAGTGACTCATCCAAAGCAGTACAGGGAACCAGCCCCAGAGCAGGGATTAACACTGGTTTATTCCACTCAGTGAAACATATACTGAGGGCCTATGATGCCTCAGCACTGTGTGAGATACTGTGACTACAGTGTTGCTAAACTGGGCCTTTCCCCAAGGAGCCTCCCTCTTTGTAGGCTGCTCTGTCAGAGCTGACAGTGTCCTGAGGCTGGAATGCCAAGTACCGCTCATCCCAGCCTGGATAATCTTTAAAAGACTCTCTGACCATTAGACTCTGATAATCAAAGCAAATTAGTTCAACTGTTGGGAAAGATTTCATATTAAAGAGATGCACTCCCCCATCAAATTGAAGAAGGCCACTCCAGCATACAATCTTCCCAAAATGTATAGGTGACGACTAGCAGAGAATCGTAAGGGTTAAGCTCAGACACAGTCCAGCTCTCCAGCCAAGCAGCCCATCCCACTCAAACCCAAGCCTCAGCAAAACCACAAGTCAAGCAGATTTTCAGCACTTGATAATCAGCACAGAGACCCATAGGATCCCCAAAGGTCTCTGCCCCAGGAGCCCAGCCATTTGACTTTAACAAACTACTGTGCCAGCAGCAAGTCCCCCTTTCTTATGCCCAGGAACACTTTAGTGAAGTTTTGATTCAGAACAGAGATGAGGATATGTGAAATTCATCTTCCATTGTGTTGCTCAATTAAAGTCTGTCCAAATCAAATGTCATGTTCTTTTGTTGCAGTAGAAAGAAAAACCAATTTGATATCAAAGATCTGAGTTCAAGGGCTGAGTCCTCCACTTACTTGAACAGTCCTTTAAACTCAGGCTGACAGTGTAATCTATCACCCAAAGCAGGGGACCTGTGAGAGTGAAAGGGGGTGCTCTTGATCATTACAGCAGGACAAGAGGCATAAGCCAGGACTACCCCAGGCAAATCAGGAAGCAGGGTCACCCTATCTAAATCTCTAAGTCTTCATTTCCTCATCTGTGAAATGGGGCTAAGGATCCCCACACCTCCCTCCCAGGGTAGTGGTAAGAATCAAGGAACAACTTACTATATAATCAAGTGCTTTGTAAACAAAAAGGGAACAAGACACAGAAGGCATCCTTAGGATAAGGCATAGGCTTCTCAAAGAAGCAAACTAGTACAACTGAAAAAGGATTAGTGGTTTTTCCAAAATCAACTAGGTACATAAAATCAGCTTCTTCTGATCAGAGTCCCACTACAATCTGAGGTTGGAGACCTTATCTATCATTTTCAATGCTGCCATTCCAGGACCAGCCTAGTATCTTATTTCCAAATGAATCGATAAGAATTAGTAATTTAAAAAATTCTTTCATTACCAAACTCTCCCATCAAATTGATGAATAGAGTATGTATTGCTCAGGGGGCCGGCCCTCTGCAGAGGCCAAGCACAGAGTGACTCCTCCAGTGAAATCTTAGCCTTGCCTGAACAATCCTTACTGCATTACAATATTTCTACTCTCATCTCCTTGACATTTTTAAAGTTACCCAGACTACTTATTCTTTGATCCTTAAGAAGAAAATGTGAACTGGAACACAGTCAAATGTCATTCAATTCAGAGCTCAGTTTCCTGCATCAGGGTGACCCCAGACTGGTTACATTTACAGCCCCAAGTAAGAAGCATTAACATGATAATATGGTCATTCAGTAAGTTCTCCAGAGGAAACCCAATTCCTAATAAGGAAAGGACATCTCTGGGTGGGTGAGTGCTCCATTCTTTGCCCACTCCGGGAGGGAAGGCAGGGTCCTTTGGCTTAGTACTCAGAGACCTAGATTGGAGCCTCCTTCCGGCCCTGGGAGAAGCCACTAGATATCTCCTAGGCTCTATTTCCTCTTTTGTAAAATGCAGACCCCACCCTATCCTTAGGCTACCTCGCAGACTTCAATTGAAGAGCAAATGACATGTGGGGAGTTTTGTGAAGTGTACTTGCAATACAAATTAAAGGCAAGAGCGGCAGTGGAGACTATGAGAAGGTGGTCCAGTTCTGTTACAGCCCAACCCGAGGTGCTGTTCATTCTAACAAGTCCAAGGTCAAGCTCCTGCTCTATGGCTAGGAGCTGACCTCTGGAGGGACTAGGATGAGCCCCTGATGACCTTACGCCGCTGAGGTCATAGCCCCAGACATCATCTGGCTTTATCCAGCTTCTCCTAGCTCCCAGCTGTTTGGGAGAGGAGTGGAAATTAGACACAGAAGAGAAAGACAAGCATTGCAATTGGAAAATTCTTCCACCAAGGTAAGGTAATACTATAGTTGGAATTAACCCTTGTAATTTTCTGACTTCCAGGCATTAGAATTCTGAACTTTTCTATCACACTACTAGAGTTTACATTAACTTTCTGTGTAGGTTTCTTAAACTTGGCTCAAAATAACCCCCTAAAAGTCTCAGTAATTTTGTCCTGTAAAATTATGAAATGCTACTTTAATTCAGGGATTGGCAAACTACGATCCACAGGCCAAACCAGGGTGTTCTGGTAAATAATGTTCTGTTGGAACACAGCCACATCGATTTGTCTACATGTTGTCTATGGCTGTTTTCACACTACAAAAGCAGAGTTTTGTAGTTGTAACTAAGACAGCATGGCCCATGAAGCCTAAAATACTTACTATCTGGCCCTTGGCAGTGTGGAAGATCAAGATTTGGCCACCCTGAAATACACTTTACCTTGATTGTTTTCTGTGAGGGACATTTGACCTCCCCCACTAACTGCCTAAAGAATTTGACATGGTGGCTCCTTCCTGGAACAGATCTTCTATCATGATGGCTGTAATGATAATGTAAAATAGACTTACAATGGGAGGGTCACCAAGCCCCTTTTATCGAAAAACTCTATCTCTCCCTGACCACATTATCTATAGATGACCTTGAAAAGAATTGTCTTCTTGCCCTCTGAAATCCCAGACCACTACCCACCCCCAACACCTTCCTTGCCTTTAGCTACAATACTTAAGCAAGCAGCTTAGACAGAGGGACCAGTTGCTCATTTCTGAGTTTCTCCCATGTATACATGTTATTAAAATTGGTATTATTTTCTTCTGCTAACCTGTCTTGTTGATTGTTTGGCCAGCCATGGGAACCTTAAAGGAAAGGGCAGAGGGGGATTCTTCCTCTTTCCCCACAGCAGAAAGTTTGCCAAACCCTGCTCTAACTCCATTTGCCTCAAAATACAACAGAAAAGAATGTACTCCAAGCCTGTTAAATAAACCACTTTTTCTTTAAAACTGGCAAGGTTTCACTTTTTAAAAAGAAATAATAACAAATCTCACATTTATAGAATCAGCATTTTTATGTGTTGAACAAACCAAAAAAAGTATTTTCAGATTTATCATTAGTGGTAAAGTGTATTTTCCCACACATTCATAATCTATTATGCTGAACTAATTTTACACAGACTTCTCCAAAAAACATCGACTTAAAGGTGAATCCACAAACAAACCACCCTTGGTCCCAAAGCAATTTTCTGAAAGTAGAATTAGCTTAAAAAGTGGGGCCTAAACAATATTATTTTATACTAAAGTATATCTACTATTGATATTAAAAATTAAACTACTGCAACAGTGCCATTTCTAACCATATTTATGCAAGCGTATAATCCTTCTCTATATGAAATACATAGGGGTTTTTTTGCTATTAGTTTCAAAACACATCACTAAGCTAAATACATCCAAATGTGTGAAGAATCACTCAAAAAGCAGAATCAAATATCCAATTTACGTTTTTAAAAGAAAACGGGGTTACTCACTGAGGTAAAGGGTGAGGATCCTTTATTTCCCAGCCCTTGACACCCCTTCAGGTGGAGGATTAGCTTTCTACAGTCTGAATATGGTGGGAAAAAGTCTGCACGTGGGAAGGGTAACAAGAGCTCGTCCGCTCTCCTGTCTCAGATGTTAGTGCTTTCTCCCTTGATGAAAGAAGAACTTGTTCTAAGGTAGGGATAAGAACAAGGACTTTGTGACATGGTGCCAAGAAAAAAAAGAAGGAAAAGAAATGGTATGCTCTTCATAAAATGTATGCTCTAAAACCTAAACATTATTCCTGTGAAGATAGTTCCCTCAACTGCTGCTATAGTCCCTTCATCAAAAATTAATCCATTCATTCCAAGTTTAAAGGGAAAAATTTGAGTATTTCATTCTTATCTTTTCAAATCAGTTGTCATATGTCCTGTTCAGAAAAGTTCTGAATGGAAAAATAACAAACTTTCCCTGACTGTCCCTCAAAGGGATCCAGCTCATCTAATGCCTTCTCCATAAGCCACTCACAACCATCCAGCCTAGAGAACCCTGCCAGAGCCCAAAGATACAGACCTCCCGGCGGATGACATCTGCAGTTCTCTCCAAGTGATCAGTTTTCCTTTTGGATTTCATTACGCTTTAACAGAAAGTAAAATTAGGTTAGTTTTATCCTCATAAAATAATTAAATTAGTTTCCCCTGTAATATCATGACTATCCAAAATACAATATAACATTATGGATCCTAGAAAATGGTCAGTGAAAATTTGCACATTCAACTAAAGTTTAACGACCTGCTGATGGCATGCACATTTAAACAAGACATCATGGTATGCCCTCAGGAGTTTGATATGCCTCTCACGACCACTGGCAGGTCAGGTCTCTCTGAAAATCAACCTCAAATGACACTGAAGGCTGAAGACTCACCTGGTCAGAGTAAGGTGGCGCAAAGCACTGGGTGTCAATCCCAAGGAAGCAGCCTGAGTGCAGACAGCTCCAACAGAGCCTCGCAACAAGCCAGGAATCATGACAGCAGCACAGGCCATGGTGTCCCCTGGGCAAACATAAAACTGAAAGTTACAATACAGTCACTTGTCACTTAACGAGGGGGACATGTTCTGAGAAATGCATTGTTAGGTGATTTCGTCATTGAGCAAACACCATAGAGTGTACTTACACAAACCTAGATGATATGCACCTACGCTGTATGGTACCAATTTTATGGGACCACTGTTGTATACATGGTCCCTTGTTGACTGAAACATTGTTATGTGGTGCATGATTGTATTTTAAGAAAAAGTAGAGAAATATCAGACTAATTTAGGGAGCAGTGAAGAAGAGTTTAGATTTTTGCTGGTGCTGTTATGAGCTGATCTAACAGCAAAGCAATTAAGGGCCTAACTTCACCCTGAAAAAATTTCTGCCACTATTTAGAGTTGATTCAACTGATCTCCACGGTACATATGTATGTCATCATTGGTAGCATCAAATATTATATATTCTCTATTAGTTTCCGAAATCTCTGACCAAGTTCACATGACTAATTTTATGCTATTACAGAAGGGGAGAGTAGATTTTCTAACTGCCTGATAATTGTATTCCACCCAAAGAGCACCACACAAGTCTTTAATATCTCTTGTTAGATAAAGTGCAAGAGGCCGGCAAACTTTCTGAGATTCGCGGCAAGGAGAATGAGCAAATGGCAAGTACGTGCAGAAACAGAGACGAATATCACAAATATCACACTGAATGAAAAGAATGAAAGAAGCCAGACTCAAAAAAACACATATTCTGTGGTGTTAGAAAGTACAGAAACAGACAAAATTAATCTACGCAGTTAGAGATCAAGTTAGTAGTTACCTTTGGGGAGGTAGCACTGACAATGTTGTTTCTTAATTTGAATGTTGACTGCACGGGTATTTCATTTTGTAAAAATTCATCAAATCACAGACTTTTAGGGCAATAAAAATACTCTGTATGATACCACAATGATGGATACATGTCATTACATATTTGTCCAAATCTACATAACATGCAACACTAAGAGTGAGCCATAATGTAAACCATGGACTTTGGGTAATTATGATGTGTCCGGGTAGGTTCATCAATTGTAATAAATGTAACACTCTGGGGGGTATGTTGATAATGGGGGAGGTTATGCATCTGTAGGGCAGTGGATATATGGGAAATCTCTGAACTTTCCCCTCAATTTCACTGTGAACCTAAAACTGCTCTAAAAAAATTAAGTCTTAATAAAAAAATTTGACCAAGCTGTCCTCTTTGGATGTGCTTTTCTGTTTTTAAGTTATACTTCAATAAAAAGTTTAGAAAACAAAAAACTAGGGGCCGGCCCAGTGGCCTCATTGTTAAGGTCGGTCGGCTCCAGTTTGGCAGCCCAGGTTCGGTTCCTGGGTGTGGACCTACACCACTTGTCAGCAGCCATGTTGTGGCAGCGACCCACATACAAAACAGAGGAAGACTGGCAGGGATGTTAGCTCAGGGTGAATCTTCCTCAGTAGGAAAAAAAAAAAAAAAACAGAAAGGTTCCCGACACTTTAAATTCTAAAAAACTACTGGTCTATTAGGAAAAGTACTGATTGGGAGTCAGATGATATATTTTTTTGGTTCTTACCATTCTGTTTTCCTCTGCCAATTTTTAAATATTTCTTTGCCTAAGATGTCCACTTTTAACATGTTATATTACCATATCTGTCCTTTCCTATCTTAGTTAGCTTGAGAATAAATGAAAATGTTATGTGAACACTCTTTTTTCTGAGCTCTTTGGCAGGCACTATATAAACAAATTGTAACAAATTTAGTTATAAAAATATTCAAGCTAGGTGTGCTTATGTTCCTACTCCATATTCATTAATTTAGCCCTGCATTTGACAAATATTTATTAAGAGACCATTATGCGGCAGGCACTGAGGATACAGACGTGAACAAAACAAAGACCTCTAGGGAGCTTATATTTTAGACGATGAATACAGAAAATAAATACAAGTAAATAAATCAGGTAGTGATATAAGTCATATGTAATTTATTCAGTTATAACTAAATCATATCAAAAGCCACTGCTTCATAACTAGTCTTGAGATAAAAGATCTGCTTCTTGCCACAGTATGATGCAGCATCATTGTGGATAAATAAGCTACTCACTATTTTTCTCTTCAGTAAATGAAAAAAGTATAAGGCCTCTTTCACCTCATGCAAGACTACTAAATGTAGTTTCTCTCCTTTAAATGTGCTAAGCCAAAAATGGTGCATTACTCATTGAAAGAAAGAAGGAAAACTTACTTTAGAAGTCCATGAGATTTTAGGAGTCCTTAAGTGTTATGGCTGACTGACTGACATGCAATATTGTGGTCCTGGTATTATGCTGAGTTCTTTGGATATACACTGGTTGGAACACGGACAGTGTTTCCATACACTGAAATTCTCACAAAGTTCCTGCAGTGGCAGAGACAACATATAAGAGCAATGTTTTGGGAAACCGTTAAAAAGCACCACTATCCCTTAGCTGCAAAAGGCAACACTAATTATAGCCAGCAGGCATCACCGCACAGCAAGTCTACTCTCAATTACCCATTTCCACCAATTCTTCCTCATGTTTCCACTTTTCTGATGGTTTCTCTTAATGCTTCGCTTTTTCATCTTCCTTGGCCCGTCTTTAACTCCTGTTACTTAGGATATCCATCCCATGAAAGACCAGACCAATGGCTAGAATGATAAAGTTACATGTCATTTAAGGCCAGATTCCTTGATAAAATTTAACTGATACATAGTTAAATATGGAAATATTGTTCTGCTCAACGTTTTAGACAACTATTGCTAAAATAAACTGTCCTCACATAAGATGTATCTTTTAGTGATTATGCTGTTTGAATGGTCTACTGCTCAACTAAACTGTAAAACAAAGAAATGTTAATTTTTAAAAGCTGTTCCCTTTAAAATTCTAAAATCTTGTTTTGTAACAATAGTAACCATGACCAAGAGTGCCACCTACCGGTAAAAAAAAAAAGGGTATTTTTATCAAATTGTGTTGGAGTGCCTTCCAAAGCAATAAGGTCTTAAAAAAAAACACCTACCCATTTTGTGAAGTATGTCCAATGGTTTCATATATGCAGTATAAGTATTTAATTAACTATAGAAACTTAACATATATTAAGTAATTTCTAAAACCATACAAAAAAGAATAGTTCATCAATGTTTGTATCCTCACAGGCCTTACCTCACCAAAAAATTCCTAATTACTTCCGAAACAGAGAAAATTATCATAAATGCTAAATAAAACTTATATCCATTTAAGCAGTAAAAAAAAAAAAAAAAGACTACTGCAAGCAACAGATTAAAGATTTAAAATGAGCTATACTGGTTTCTGTTCAGTAAGTAATCAATTTTTTTAACAATTACTGGGGTGCCAGGCACTATTTTAGGCGGTGAAGACACAATAAAGAACTAAACACAAGGCCCTTGCCATCATGAAGCTTTTATTACAGCATATGTGACAGATAATAGTAAACATAATTAACAAGACAATTACAGATTACAATGAGTGTGATACAGGAAATAGAGTGATTGGGTGGGTGGGGGAGTATCAGGAAAGGTCTCTCTCAAAAAACATCTAAGCAGAGACTTGAATGATGAGGAAGAGGCAGCCAAGCAGCCGTAAGGGGCAGAGCATTTGGGCAGAGGCCCAATCACAGAAACAAGCCTGGTGTGTCAGAGGAATCTCGCTTGGCCAGTGTCACTGGAGAGCAGTGAGCTAGGTGAGAGTGACATGAGATGAAGTAAAGCAGGTAGACACGTGCCAGATCACATCAGGCCCATGGTGTGTATGTACTTTACTCTAAAGGGCATGTACTTTACTCTAAGGGTAATGGGAAGCAACTGAAGGGTTTGAATAAACCAGGAGAGGGACATGATCTAATTTACATTAAACAATCACTCAGGCTGCCATGCCATGGATCCTAGAGGGTCAAGAGTCGAAGCAGGAAGTCCAGTGAGAAGGCTGCAGTCTAAGATCAGAGTAGGATAAAGCTACAGAGATGACAGAAGCAGATGAACACAGAATATACTTCGGAATTAGAACCTACGACTTGTTGATAGACTGGATGAGGTGAGAGAATGAGAAAAATCAAGAATGCCTCAAAGAGCAGTAATGCACTGAAACTAAGTAAATTCACAGAACTATCACAGCACCTGTTGATTTAAAATCCTAGGTGCCACAGGGGAAGCAGAGTGATTCCTGGCATTTGGCATTTGGTCAGGAACCCTAGTGGTATACAAGTTATTATAGTGCTTGACCTGGAAGCAGTGGAACTGGGCTCAGATCTGACTCCTCCCTGTTTTTTGATCTTGGGCCAGTCACCTCTTACCATTTTTAAATGGGAATGCCAGCCCCACCTCACTGGATTGCTGAGAGGAATAAATGTCCATGGAAGAACCTGGCAAGCAAGAATCTTACTAAAAATCATCCCAAATACATTAACCACCTCTCTCCTCCCTGCCAAACAAGAAGTGGTGGTTTGATATTGCCAATAAACGACTCCCCTTGGCCTGATATACAACAGCACTCATTAAATACAGTTTCTATTACACAATTATGACCTGGTTCTAAATTTGATCTTATGCTAAGAATTTTGGTCACTGGTATTTTCCAGATCAGCAGTGTTAACATTTTATGATAAAAAACATTATGAAAAAAAGCAAACCATAAATATGTGATTTCAAATGACACTATAGCAACTAGTAAATATGCTTCTGTCATGCTCTCAGGGTCCAAAAATGTCTCATTACAAAATGTTTCCATTCCCCAGGAATAACGTAAAGTTTCGTAGTCATTGTAAAGTTTTATTTAAAAGTGATGAGTGGAGTAAAAAACCCGCATCACGGGTGTAGCTATGGTTTTACTTTCTTCCGCACAGTACGATCTCAAACTGGCTAGAACCACGCAAGGAACTACCTCTGGCCAGACAAGGGGGATGGCTGACAGACAGCAGGATGAAAGCAGTATGGAAGGCCAAGGAGACCCCCAAATCTAGACATCAAAGGAACCAGCACTGCTCTAGCAGAAAATCTCCGCAGTCTGCTGAGCTCCAGGGCTGTTTTAGTCTAGCTCTGCTTCAAACACCATCACATCATAAATGGCATCGTAGTTAATTAAGAGCCCAGGTTCTGGGGTCAGAGAGATGTGAGCTCTCACCATCGTTTCCTGCCACTTTCAAGCTTTGCCTCCTTTGGCAAATTCTTTAGCCCCTAAACCTCAGGTTTCCCAGTACTGAAGATGGGATTAATGATACCCATACTCACTAGGCTGTTTTAATGACATAATGCATGTTTCAATGACATAATGCATTTGGTACAATGCCTGGCACATAATGTCAATTATTATTAATAAGTGGCTCATTAGTTTTTCTTTTTCCATTTTAAGTAATACATGCTCAAAGAGAAGTTGGAAAATCACAAAAAAATTATGAACAAAATCTACTCAACAACCCCTGTAACTTTTAGGACTGTTAACCTCAGATTTCAAGATTAACCAGCAAATTGTTTTTGATGGATCCAAACTGCTTTCTAAAAAGTCTACCAATTTATACTTCCATGAGCCAAATATGACTGCACCCATTTCTGAACATTTGAAAATGGCTCATCTTTAATTTGCAGATACTTATGCTCAGAAGCACTGATGAACTAAATATGGTTCCCAACCTCAAATCAATTACTGGGACTACAGAATAGACACTGGGGACTCTCTCCTGTCCTCCTGCCTCCAAGAGGCTACCTGGGAAGTCTCTGTGTCTACAGAGATACAGGGAGCAGCCACTGAGCTGTGTGGGCTTTGCTGGAATGTCTCCTTTGCTCAGACAGATCAGAAGCATCCCAGTTAACCCTCAACGAGTTTAACAAGCGTTTCCTAACTGCTTGGTAGATTTTCAATTGTGCTAAATGGAGCGTTTGTGAGGCTTCTGAAAAAATCTTCTACAAACTCCTTCAATGTAACTTCTGAATTTTCTTCCCAAGACTCCTCTGCCTTTAGGTTTTCAAGCCTTAAAAGAGCTAAAGTAGGTGGAGCTTCATTTTGGTGTGCACAAAATTGGTAACTTCATGCAAACATTTGAGTATGTCTACATAAATAAGCATAGGGATGTGTATATAAGTTTGTGTAATATATACGTATTGTGTAAATATAAAATACGGTATACGTGATTGCGAAACCAAAACTCCTATCGATGCAAAAGTAGAATGTTAGATCTGAAGAGATCTTGTAAATCATCTCTAATCCAACCCTTTTTTAGTCAGAAAAGGAAATAAGGCCCAAAGAATGTAAACATCCAGCTCCCAGAGCCAGTTGGCAACAGTCAGATTCTGAGCCCGGATCTTCTGCTTCTCAGTACTGTAGCGTTTTCATTGCACTGCATGCCTTCTCCACCAGGTGAATTAAATGCGTAGTCATGGAGCAATACCCCATGGAATCCAGCTGTACCAAAACAGGCACTAGCACCGCTTTCAATACAAACCACCTTTAATTTGCATTTCACTTCGAGGTATACACAGGCCTCACGTAATAACCCTGCTCGCTGACGCTCTTCCTTTTGCAAAAAGGAAACTGTTCACATACATTAACTAATTTGTTCCTGGGCTTTGGGGACAGACAGGCCCTTCTTTTCCTAGGTGTGTGATCTTGGTCAAGATACCCAACTCTCTGTGTCTTAGTTTGAAGATTAAGAATAGAGAACTCCCAGGGCTGATGGGAGAATTACACTTACCGCAATACCTGGCACCCTGCAAACTCCCAATAATAAAAGCTATTACTACTAATCACTGTAGTTAATAACGTTATACGCCTGGCAAACACACGACTAGAACGCAATCTCTGCTTTCCAGGTGTAGGTCCTTTGAGCAACACAATTTAGGGCATTTGAAGATACTGCGGGGTGAGGAAGAGGGGAGGATGTACCTGAATAGCCGAGTGCGGCCAGGAACTACAAGCTAGGCGTTGCCCTGAGCTCAAGGTCACTCGGTGAATAAAAATCCCAAGGGAGCTTTCGTCCGTCACCGGGGAGGCAGGCAGGGCGGTCCAGGAGGCTGAGCTGCTCCCGCCGCTGCCTCAGACTCAGCAAAGCAGCACCCCCCTTTCCCCAGGGGCGCCGAGGCCGCGTCGATGCTACCTAGGCCTGCTGCGGCCTTCCGCTGGGTCGGCTTAAGGCCTCTCTAAACTCCGCGGGCGTAAGGCAAGGCAACGACAGGCACAGTAAGAGACCTCCACGCCGCCGCCACGGGGATCTAGCTCGCAGACTCGGGCCAAGGTCCACTACCTCCGCCTGAGAGATTCCGGCGTCCCCGACATGACGTAGCAGCAGCGCGAGCCATCCCCACATTTTATTGGTCGCTGCCGTCCGATGGGCGGAGCCGTGAGCGACAGCACTAATCAGCGAGCGCCGTCTTCCAGTGTCTCCGCCCCCTAGCTCAGGCATCTCCATGGTGACCGCTACCGGTCACCCATTTGGCCTACAAGGCCGGAGTTGCGTCATTTTCTATGCGCCGGAAGTGACCGTTCCTGAGCCGGTGCGTGGTGACAATGCCCGCCTGGGGTCGGCGCCCGCGAAGTTAGACCTACCCGGGACCGTGTCGGACGGCGAGGTGACAGACCTCTGCGGGCCCCAGTGATAATGGCGGTGTTTCACGACGAGGTGGAGATCGAGGACTTCCAATATGACGAGGACTCGGAGACGTATTTCTACCCCTGCCCTTGTGGGGATAACTTCTGCATCACCAAGGTAATCTCGGGGTCCCGCCCTGCGACTCCTTGGAGCAGGCGCGTTTTCGCTGCGGTCTTCCTTCCGCCATTCCGTCCCGCATGAGACTTATAGTTATCCATTCCCTTTTAATCCTGTGTCTGAATCCCGCAAAATTGACGCTCTGAGCTGTCAGGGGGCACATCGTTCTGGGCTTTAGTCAGGCCAGGGGGGTGGAGTCAGGCTGGAGGGGTGGGGGTGGATGGCGAGGAGCATCAGTTTTCTCGCCATTCTCCCCTACTTAGGGTCCCACTTCCTGGGATACTTCTTTGGAGGAAGGGACGCGTTTTTGTTTGCCCTGGGGTTTTGAGGGCACTGAACTTTGACTCACCTTCCTGGGTATTTCCCCCACGTGATGTTTCCGGGGAAAAATGGGGTTGGCATTTTTCTCAGAAGGCCCTTTTGGCGCTCACGTACCTTATGGAGAGGCAAGCCACAAAGGAGCTTGCCCATAGTGGTGGGAGGGTTTGGGAGGAGGAGATTGCAATGGGAACACTATGCTGATCATATGGTGTTTGATTTCGTTATAGGAAGATTTGGAGAATGGAGAAGACGTGGCAACGTGTCCTAGCTGCTCTCTCATTATAAAAGTGATTTATGACAAAGTAAGGGGTCCAATTTTAAAAAGGTGGGGGGAGAGTTTTGAGGCAAGGACCTAGAGAAGTCTGTCTGTGATATGTGTGGAAGAATGTTTCCTAACAGTGTTAGGAAAATGCTGTGTTTTAAAACATTTTAAAAACTATTAATAAACAGCTATATTGTAAATTAACATTTTAAAAGTTCAAATTAACTCATTTTAGCTTTGGAGAGGTCAGTAAAGAAAACTGCTCTGTTTAATGAAAATTATTGATTACTTACTAAATAGTAGAAAAATAATCTTAAAAGTTATTTAATTGACAGTCTTTATTCCTCTTTTATTTAATAAGTAATTAAAATTATTCAGAGTTCCTAAATTTATTTTGAAGGGAACTGTGTAGTATTTCTTATATTTATATAAGGTATAATATATATATATTTCTATATATAGAATGGAATTGTATAGTATTTCTTACCTGGCTTCTACATAGAACTTTGCGTTATCTTGTTTGAGATATAAGTCGTAGTTGCAATTTTACAATTTTGTTTTAGTCTTTAGTTGTCCTATTGTTTTTCACCCAAGGATACTGAGAATAGAAAACAATAAATGTTATTAATGCCCCCCACACACACACTTTTAGTCAGTACTTTGAATAGAGTCTTCAGTTAGAAGCTAAACATTGTTTTTTTTTTTGAGATATAGTTGACACGTAACAGAGCTTAACATTCTTAAGGATGAACTCTAAAATGAGTATAGGGAAGGTGGGAACGAGGCACTTAGCCTCATGAGAGCAGCCTGCTATAATTTAGAAGTTTACTTCTAAAATAAAGAAGATTTATTCTTGGATTAAAATGTGTTCTGGAACAGGAAAAGAACAGGGTAAGGGAGATGAGGAGTGCTGGTATGAGAAGAGATTGCAGTTTTAAATAGGGTGATCATGGCAGGCCCGATTGAGAAAGGCCTTTTTGAGCAAAGATTGAAAGAGGTGAGGAAGTGAACCCTGTACATATGCGGGGTAAGAGCAGTGTGGCAAAGGGAACTTGCAGTGAAGAGGCCCTGAGGCAGGAACGTGCCTGCTTTTATCAAGGAACAGCAGGGAGGCCATTGTGACCAGAGCAGAAGGAATGAAGGTGAGAGTTGTCCAAGATGAAATTAGTGGAGTGAGGCAGATCACAAAGGTGTCTGTGGGCCACTGTAAGGACTCTGGCTTTTGCTGTGAATGATATAGGGAACCACTGGAAGATTTCTGAACAAAGGAGTGCCATGATCCAACTTAAGTTTTAAAAGAGTGATTCTGGCTGCTGTGTTCAGAGTAGGCTGAGGGAGCAAGGATAGAAGCAGGAAAACCAGTTAGGAGGCTATTAGACTAATCAAAGGGGGAGATGGGTGGTTTGGACCAGGCTGCAGCAATAGTGAGAAGTGGTTGGATTCTGGATACACTTTAAAGGATAAGGATTTTCTTACTGATTGGATGTAGAATATGAGAGGAGTCAAGGATGATTTCAACATTTGTGGCCTTGGTAACTGGATGGATGGATTTACCATCAACTGATGGGGAGGTGACTGCAGGTATAGGGGCCAGAGCTGGACATACTAAGTTTGAGAGGCCTGTTTTTCATCCAAGTGGAGTGAGTGAGGAGGCAATTGGATATGGAAGTCTGGAGTTCAAAGAGAGATAAGCTAGCGCTGTAAATTTGGGAGTTATCAGCATATAGATAGCATTTAGAGCTGTAAGATTGGATGAGATCACTGGGGCTGTGAATGAAGGTAGAGATGGACAAAAGAAAGGACTGAGTTGGGACCCTCCAACATTTAAAGGTCAGGGAGGGAAGCAAAGAATCAGCAGAGCTGGCTGAAAGGGAGCAACCTCTGAGGAAGAAGGAAAACCACCAGTGTCATATCCTAGAAGCCAGATGAGAAAAGATGGAGGAAGTGATCAACCTTGTCGGATGCCACTAATAGAAAGGCAACTGAAAGTTAACCGTTAGCTTCAACAGGGAGAGGCCATTTGTGATGGTGATAAGAGCGGTTTCAGGGGCCGGCCCCGTGGCTTAGCGGTTAAGTGTGCGCGCTCCACTGCTGGCGGCTGGGGTTTGGATCCGGGCACTCACCGACGCACCACTTCTCCGGCCATGCTGAGGCCGTGTCCCACATACAGCAACTAGAAGGATGTGCAACTATGACATACAACTATCTACTGGGGTAGTTGTTTTGGGGGTGGGGGGGAAGGAGGAGGATTGGCAGTGGATGTTAGCTCAGAGCCAGTCTTCCTCAGCAAAAAGAGGAGGATTAGCATGGATGTTAGCTCAGGGCTGATCTTCCTCAAAAAAAAAATTAAAAAAAAAAAAAAAAAAGAGTTTCAATGGAGTGACAGAGACGGAGCCTGATTAAGGAAAACTTGTTGGAGAGAATGAGAGAAGAATAGGAGACAGCAAGTGTAGACATTTCTTTCAAGGAGTTTGCTGGAAAGGGGAGCAGAGACATGGGGCAGTAACTGGTGGTGAGAGAGGATCAAGAGGGTTTAAGGTGGTAGACATTCAGCTATATGGGTGAATGTAGACACAGGAAGTTAGATTTAACCAGGATTGTGGTTTTGCCAAGTGAGTAGGAAGGAGTGAGAGCAGAGCGATTATGATAATTGACCATGGGGTTTAACTAGGTAAAGAAAACATTAAGGGAGTGAGAGGCAGTGAAAAGGTGGTAGAATAAATACAGTGGAGGTCCCAGAGGGGTTGAAATGAGGGCTCCAAGGGGGTAGGTGACAGCAACAGAGAGGAGTGGTGATGATATAGTCTCATGACTATATTCAAAGTTGGTGGTTTTCAGAGAGGAAAAGAGAACCATGGCAGAAAGGAGCAACCAGCCACTTCTCCAGTCTCTGTGGTACTGGGGCCCTGAGAGCACACGGAGCCACCATTTGACGGGTTATGCGGGAAACAGTGTCCTTAGGGGATGGCCTCTTCTCAACCTCAGCATTATGGACCTTTTGGGCTGAATAACTCTTTGTTGTACAGAGCTGTCGTATGCACTGGAGGGTGTTTAGTAGCATCCCAGGCCTCTACTCATTAGATGCCAGTAGCACCCCCTCAGTTGTGTCAATCCAAAATATCTCCAGACATTGCCAAAGGGCCCCTGAAGACAAAATCAACACCCCTCTCCTACCACCTTTTGAGAACCACTGCATTTAGAGCAAGAAGGCACAGGGACATTTTAAAGAAGAGGTTGAGAATATGGAGCATTGTGCTGATGATAGACCGTAAATTCCAAAGGGCACGGTGGGAGGGTTCCAGGTGCTGGGCAGCAATGAGAGAGTGACGGGGACAGAATACAGGCTGATCCTTACAGGCATCAGATTGCGGGAGATGAGGGGTAACCTGGGAGGCAGATTTGTGGTAGCTGATGTAAACCAGGATAAATAATCAGAGATTGAACTACATTTACAAAGTAGCCCACATTGCAGATTATGTATATTGGGAAACACATAAAGAGCTATCCATTTTAGTTGGAAGAAGTAATTACTTTGAAGAGGACAGGAATTTGAATGACCAGATATTGAAGTGGAGAAGTTTTAGTGTAAGTAGTAACTAATACAGAAACTTAAAAAGTGTGACATGTCTTTATAAATGTGATTTCTGAGAAGTAGATGCTCTGTAGTGATGGACATGTTTGTTTATAAGATAAGGTGCTTTATATTAAATATGAATTCAAAACTAAAAACTGATACACTTTTAAGATTATAATTCTGGTGCTGACATTGGCTCTTTGAACAAGGATCAAGTGATATAATAATGGAAAAACTAAACAGAGCTGAATTGATTCTGTAACAAAATGGAAGTTTAATATTGATGCATTTGTGACACAGACACTCAGTGATTAGTGTAATTTCTTGTTCTGTCTTAGGATCAGTTTATGTGTGGAGAAACAGTACCAGCCCCTTCCACCAACAAAGAATTAGTTAAATGCTGAAGAAGACTTTAGGAATCCAAATCCTGAACATTTGGGAATGCGCCAAGCTGGAAAAATCAAATGCGTAGTTACTGGCTTCTTCATGGGACAACCCTTTTGTAGTTTGCCCTTCTGTTAAAGTGTGGATTCTTTCCATCGGCTGCTGAGTTCATCTCCAATTAAAGAATTAAGTCCACGACATGACATACCTGGGTTTTGTGCTTAGAACTTCGAATTGGAAGTGCTCTTAATTTTGCATCTGGATTTAAAGGAAGACAATTTCAAATCAGTACTTTCTTTCCTTCAGTTTTGTTATTTTTACATCTTAACACCTGCTTCATTATCTGAAAACAGCATCATCTACCTCAAAGTCATTAGGATTCCTTAATAAAATAAGGGATTTTATTTTTGAGTTGGTTATTAAGATTATTAAAATTAGCCCTTTCTTTGAAACTTGACATCAACTTTGCTGTTCTAAACTTAAGAAAATTATTTGTCTTGTCAGTACTGCACTTTCAGTTCCCACAGCAAGCCGGTCTTCTCAGGCTGGCATTGTTAGGAAGTTTGTGTTCTGGTAAGCGTGCTGTTTCCATCATACTTTGTGCACTGAGTTCTGGTCGTGGTATTAAAGAGAAAATATACTGAGCTCACAATTTTTGCAGAGCTGAAAGTTGGTGAGTAAGAAACAAAAGTCAAAAAGTGAAATGGTCAAAGAATATGGCGTTACCTTATCAGTATTCTGCATGTTCCTTAAAAATCAGGACAAGAGAAAAAGAAAAACAGCCGAAGGAAGTGAAATTGGTAACAGAACAAGAGGAGAAAAATATGCCAACTTAGTAAGTTAAATGCTTGAGTGCTTTTGCCAGATCAGAGCAAGTAATATTTCTGTATCTGGGCTCTGGTTTGTCTTGTTTTCAGATAAGGCTGATGAAGGTGCATTCTAGGTAGCCTTCACGGCTGGCGGCTGTGCTCTCAGCATTACCACAAAATCAAGTCGCGACTCTTGAAAGGTAAAGCTTCTGCAGCTCTTGTATTTGCTGAGGATGAACTTGAAAATGAGACGCCTGTTCTAAGTGTGCCCCCGAGGGCACATCTAATAAGCCTCTGTAGGCTGCAACCAAACCAAACACTTTGCTCTTACAGAGAAATGTTGCCCTTGAGAAAAGAGATGTATAGAGATAGGCTATCAGTCTTGCTTTGCTGCAGCACTGAGTAGCACAAAATTAGAATCACTTACGTGGAAAGTCAAAAATTCCCTTTCTATACACAATCTTGCTATGTGTATATAAAGTTAAAAAAAGTCACTCATGTCTGGCAGGTTGTTTTGGGAATGGCTCCTGCAATTAGAAAAATAGCTTGCCAGAATGTGAACATTCTATTTCTGATTGATAAATGGGCTGCACACGCAAATTGGGGTTTAAATTAAAACAAGCGTGTGGCCTTTTTTTTACCTGCCAGCAGCGTGGCTATGTGCAGCAATTAGGCTGAGACACAATAAGTCACCAACACTGTGTGCCAGAAGTGCGTGGTACACTATATGAAGCACTGTACGCTATATTCTTGATGTGATGAGAAATCTCTTTGCTGTTTGGGACACTGATGCCCCAGAAGTAACCCACAGTTGCTCTGGCACCAGTGACGGCTCAGATGAACAGAGCAGGGTCTGTGCTGACTGGTGGGAAGGAACTGCAAAGGGAAGTGAACTGTCCCATACTCAAATTGGACAGTTTTGTTGATATCGATAACATTAGTTCCCTCAGCTGTTGATAAATTTTAAACCAGAACAGACACCTTTGACGTAGGTCGGCTATAAGCATAGAAGAGCAGAAAGACAAGTTGCCCAAGTCCAAACATCCCAGGAGAAAAGAAGCATAAATGGCACTGGCCATCAGCGATCATCTGCGATAATGGGAGTGATTTTGTTTCCAAAGCAACTGAGTCACTGAATTTGTTAACTACAAAAGAACACATCAGGATTTAATCCTATGTTAAGCACAAAGTAAAACAGGGTCTTTTAGATATGACTAGAGTTCTGTGTGATGTATGTGCCTTGTTTAGCTTAATAGACATTTCGGAGCACCTTTGAGAGCTGATTTGTAATCCAAGCTCTGTCTCTTACCAGCTTTGTAATCATTGGCGATGCTGGTGGATTCCTCATCTTTGCGATTAGGAGACTGGAACAGGTGATTTCTAAACTGTCAGCACTATCATTTCAGGCCTCATAGCTGGCAGGAGCTGAGATGGTAGTTGAAACCTTTATAAACTCAAAACTATCTAAATCATGAATTACAGAGAGAGACGCCATTCTTCTTCAGTAGCTTGATGTTATCACACTTCTGAGTTTGAAAATTATAAAGTCAACTATTTAAAGGATTCTGCATATATTTTAGTGCACACATTCAGAAGCGTTTTTCTTGGAAAGCAGTGTTTTTGATAATTACATATTAATTTATTATCAGAATAAGTTGTATTGGTATGCTAAATAAAATCAGATAATTCAAATCCATTTGCTTTCATGTAGTTTTTCTTCCCATAAATACCAACATTTTGTACTAAAAGGTTTTGATATGATTTTGTATGAGGTGGAAATCTTTAACCTGCTTTGGGGCATTGTAAATAGGTTTCTGGTATGGACAGAAGAGTTTTTAAATAGGAAGGAAATTGCCGCTGTTTCTGCAGTATGGCCACATGGGTTTTGGTTCTGAATTTTTATTACTTGAAAAAAAAATAGCTTTGAATCAAGTGGCATTAAGGCAAAGATAGTTGAAATTCTTAGGTGAGCAATTCAGTTTATTGCTGGGAAAGAAGGTTGATATTTTATTTAAGGCTGATGATCAGTTCTTGCAGTGGTTTGAGAGCCCAGCTCTGATGAGGACACAGTTTGAATCTTAGTTCCTCCACTATGATCTTGGACAATTTATTTAATCTTTTTGTATCTCTGTGTCCTGGTCTGTGAAATACCATAATAGTACTTCTTTGTTGGGGTTGCTCTATGGATTCATCCATTCAGCAAGTGTTTGTGGAGTGCCTGCCACATACTAGGCACTAGGTGAAGAAGGCAAATAGGGTTCCTGCCATCATGGAGCTCATGTGCAACTAGAAGAGAGGAAATACGGTTACATACTGTGGTAAGGGCCCAGTAGGAAACAAGTCAGGCGATGTGACAGTGTAACTGCAGCGGGCGCCTTTATAAAGGGTAGACAGAAGCATATCAGATCTGGCACTTTTTCTGAGACCTGAAGGATGGGAATGAAGCAGGCTTGTGAAAATGTCACTTACAAATAGGACAGCTTCTGCAAGTATAAGTAATTAGGATTTCTTTAACTCCATTTGGGGATGCCTACCATTCCCTACTTCCTACAAAGCAAATTGCTCCCGATTACATGCTGGACTGGGAAATTATTTTACAAATTATTTCTTGTTAAGGGTTTAAAGAACATGTGAAAAAGAAATCACAGTTAAAAATACTATCCCCCTAGCTCACAAAATGCTTAAAATAAGGGAGAGGTATCCAAGGAAGGCAGCCACTTCGGTCCTGGCAAATGAGGGGTATTTGGTGGGTGAAGGGGTTCAATATGAAGTGGCTCCCAAATAGAGGTAAATGTCTAGTAAGGGCTGGGGAGTCCCAATAGGTGGCCCAGAGCCACAGCACTGCTTCAGTGGTCAACACTTGGGACTGAGACAGGCAAGCAGTTCCCATCTGACACCTGACCATGGTCACAGGACCCAGTCACTAGGCAAAGATTTGGGGCCAGGCTCATTCTTAGACGGGAACTGAGTTCTTGGATAGGGCCAAAGGTTGTGACTTTAGACAAAGATTAATGCCAATATGGAGAGTGGGGACGAGGGGGCCAAAAAACCTTAATGGGCACCATCTGTGTTCCAGGCTCTTTCTGTGAGGGCAGCACAGGCCACCGAAAGTTACCCCAGAGGGCATTGGGTCCTAGTCTACAGTCCCAAATGGCAGAACTTGGAATATTACTGTAGCTAGCAGGTATCTCTGAACTACTAACTGGCAATGAAGACAAGCGTGAACCAGCCTGGATGGGGATTTGGACCATCTAATAAGATTAAATGAAATAATACATGTAAAGCAGTTAGCACAGTGTTTGCACATAGTAAGGGCTCGATAGACAATAGTTAATCTTACATATTTCTTGCTCCATCAGAAATGACTCAAGACTATGGTCTGGGGAACTTGGCTGAATTTACAGGTTAAAACAACAATGGACTCAGCCATAGTGTGTCAGAATTCAACCCCGAGAAAAACCATGAGTGATAGAGAATGAAGGATTTGCTATAAGGATTAGACTTTACATGATTGTGAGAGCGAGTGGAGGCATCAAGGCAAGGCTGTTATCTCTGCGTCTGATGTTGAGCCTACTATAGGTCAGCCAGACTGGTAGTCGGAAAAGAAAGCATGGTGTGAACAAGAGAAAATACAAACGAACCTACGTCTGTCTCTCACCACCTCCAACCTTGATGCTGTGGGTGACTTCCAGGGGAAGCTGGTGCCCTTCCCCATGAAGTTGCATAAGTATTTGCCCCAGAACAGGGCAAGCTAGCAGATCAGCAGCAATGTACGTGAGCACCCACTGTTCTGGGTGCCCTGCTCCAAACTTCAGAGCATAAAAAATATGTCTGCTGCTTTACAACTGGCTTCCAAGTCTTGCACAAAATTTCTCGTGGCCAGTGCTAACCCAGGACCATACAGGGAAGGGTATTCTGGAAAATGTAGTCCTGTAGTCCCAGCTTAGCTGAATTGTCACCATATACAAGGTTGGGGATGCCAAAGCAGGAGTGGCACACTCTGTTTGTTCTTAAACAGGTAAAGTGATAAATAGCATGATGTCGTTTAGGTTACACCGTAATGTTGATATCGTGATCCCCATGTTAACTGAAACCAAGTCTTTGCCAATGTGTCAATCAGGTATTGTTGCATTACAAACCACTCCAAAACTTAAAACAGTAGGAATTTACTTCTCTCTTATGTGTCTATGGGTCAGCTCGAGTTGGCTGATCCTGGCTGGGTTTGGCTGGGTGGCTCTAAACTGCAGGATGGGTCTGGGTCAGATCCCACATCTCCCTTCCTCAGACCAGGGGACTAGCCTGCACAGAGGTGTCAGAGCCAGTTTCTACTGCACATGTACATTTGAAGTCTTTGCTTGCACCATGTCTGCCAAAGTTCCATTGGCCAAAACAAGTCATGTGGCCGAGCCCAAAGTCAAGGGGGCAGGGAAATACAATTCTCCCATGGAGGTGGTGGGGAGGGAAGGAGTGAACATTTTTGAAAAGTAATCTAATCTACCACAGTCATTACACGGCAGGCGTGGTATTTCAGTCCAATACTTTTGACTCTAAATCCATTTTCTTTCTTCTGTGGCAGTGTTTGAATAAGTGAAAAACCTTCCACGTGATAAAATGGAAGCAGTTGAAACATTAAAACAAGTCAGCCACTCTCATCTTGCTGGCCCCACGTCAGACAACAGTCCCAGAGGATTAGTTTTTGCTGCATTTGCGTTTTGAGCTGAGCAAGGCTTTGGCTGTGTTTTCCATATCGAAATTCAGAACAGCATAACTCTAGTAATAATAGGTTAATATTTCCAAAGTCTGCCATAAATATCCACTTGAAGATATTTATTAGCTCTAATTATAGAGAAAAATGGGGCCACGTTCTCATGGTGTCATTAAAAGTGGGATGTAACACCCATGGGAATCTTGGTGTCTGTTTCTTGTTTGCTGGAACTTGGAGATGATTCATTATGTTATCGTTGTAACTAATTCCCTCATAAATTTCGGTGGTGCCAGCA